CCCCCCCCCCCCCCCCCCCCCAAGCGACCGACTTTTGAAGGATATGCATGAGCACAAGAGCTAGATTCATGGACAACCAACACGCACACACTTTTCCCGGCAATCTGGAGACAAAACAGCAGTCGCGCAGTGAACGTCGGTTCGTGACCTTTTCCTACAGCACGTCACGCTTACCCCCGCCGCTGCCCGTGCCCCGGCGTGTGCGGTTGTGTCGTGTTTGTTCTCGTGTGAACCGTCACCTTTAGTGGTGGTCGTCGTCGACGTCGACGTTGTTGTGGTTTTAAAAAGCCGACATCAAACCATTGGACTATTAATACAATAGTCAGTGGCTGACTACGCCATCTGGCCTAATGGTTTGATTCCGGCTTCCAAAACAAGTTACCGTTAAGGTTTGGGCGTTGGTGTGACTTCGTGGTTACCGCACGCACCCGTCCGCTGAGCCCCAGCCCAACCCCACCCTACCCACCTGTCCTTGATCTGCAGGAGGTAGCACGCGATGGAGTAGGCGGCCAGGCTCTCGATGAAGCGCCGCTGAGCCTCGCGGAAACCGTCCGACCCCTTAGCCCCGAACCTCGCCTCAAAGAACCCGGTCAGACTGTGTGCACGAGAGGGCGGCAGGTAGACCAATGATGCAAATTACAACAAGGGCAGCCACGCCAAGAGGGGGAGACGTGAAGATTGGGGAGGGGCGGAGGCGGGGGGGGGGGCTCAGCCAGCGAAAAACCTTCATCCGGAACGATCGAGGGTGCTCGAGCAACCCGAGGAGGGACTGGGAAAAACACGCGTGCATATCCATGGTCACCTCTTGTCAACACCCGCCACAACAAAGAGAACAACAAATTACAAGAAGCGAAGTGTACGCAGGTGTGCTGCACATGGCACCAAGGTAAACAATGTCACATGTTCGCTCACACAAGCACAAGACAAAACCAGCGCTCCTTTCTCCTCTCGCGCGCACACGCACCTGAAGCGCGAGGCCGCCGCCGCAGAAGCGTCGCCTCCCTCCTCCGCCGCCGCCGCCGCCGCCGCCTTCGCCCCTTCCCGCCCGCTTCCCCGGTACCTCCGCAGTGCGTCCAGCGATATCGTGTCCGGAACGGCCTCCACCAGCCCCGTGTCCGCGGACAGGGCCACGATGTCGTACGGACGCAGCCACACCCTGACCCCTTCCGCCCGGAGGATGCGCTGCATGACGAACAGGAGCTGGGAGGCCAGCTGCTCCTGGCGCAGGTCGTCGTTGCTCTTGACGATGACCGGGAGGAGCCGCCACCCTGGCTCCTCGGCCCACGGCGAGACCCTCCGTATCCGGTTGCTCTTGTCGTGCCACAGCTCGTTGAACAGCACCTGGGGCTGAGGGAGCCCATCTCCGCTCGATGACGCGGCCCCTCTCCCACCATCGCCCGATTCCCCCTCCTCCTCGCTCCCGCGCCGCGAGGCACCGCCCGTAGAGTCCGCTCCGCCGCTGCTGCTGCCGCCGCCACCGCCTCTCGTGTACCCCTCCGGCAGCGGCTTGCTCGTCGGCAGGCGCCGCTCCAGTACGTCCGCTAATGTGTCGTCGCCGACGTCGTCGTCGTCGCCCCCCCAGGGCCGCCCCGTGCCCGTGCTGCTCGCCGTCCACCAGTCCCTGGCGTTGCCCATGGAAGACAAGGGCAGGACGCCGGGGCCGGAGGTAGTGTCCCCGGTCTCCTCGTCCACCAGCAGCCGGTAGTGGTCAGCGGTCGCGTCGTCCGGGCGGCCCCTGCCAAAGCCGCCGCCACGGCGACGCCTGTACTTCTCTCTGGGAAGTCTCTCGTCGTCGTTGCCGCCGCCGCCGCCGCCGCCGCCGCCGCCGCCGACTCCGAGGTTGTTGGTTGTGCCCCCCCCGCCCTGTTCGATGTCCTCGGACCGAACGCGAATCGCACCGCTTGCCCTAGCCCCTCCTCCTTCCTCCTCCTCCTCCTCCTCCTCCTCCTCCTCCTCCTGCCCCGTTACGCTCTGCGGCTCGACGTCGTCGCTCTCTTCGGTACCCAGGGACAGCGTCCACCCTTTAAATCCTCCCGGTAATCCTTCTCCCCTTGACGACCCAGGGAATCGCAACTGCTGAAACGATACGCCGCTGGGTAGCCACTGGCGCAGGGCCTGAATCCTTCTCGAGAGCATGTTACCGCCACCGCCGCCGCCTCGTTCACCCTCCTCGTCTTCTCCCTCCCCCCCCGCTTCCGCGAGGCCACCTTGGTCTCCCTCCCGCCTCCGCCGCCGTTGCCGCCTTCTTCCAAGCCCCGGCTCCTTCGCCCCGACAACTTCCAGGCAAACAAAGCACGGCGCTCGCTCCCTCGTCGAAAAAGCGAAAGACTCGGAAGGGTGGACGGCAACGATGCGGTGGTGACGGTCCCCGACGGGCACGTACACGAGGCGCTCGCCGCCGTTCCCCTCGTCCCCGCTCCTCCCTTTACCCGCCGCCGCTCCGGCCCCCAGAAACGTCTCGCCGACCTCCGCCAGTTGTTCCTTCAGGACGTGGGTCCGCTCGGCCTTCGACAGCGGGGTCAGGGAGGACGCGATTTCGCCCAGCCTTGCCAGGAAGTCGATCGTCTGTCGGTAGAGCAACGGGGCTTGCTTCTCGCTCTTGCCGTCGCCGCCGCCGCCATCGCCGCCCCGGACACCACCCTTGGTTCTCGCCTGTGCGCCGGCGGCGGGGGCAGCCACGTCCTTGCTCCCCGCCACCGCCGCCGTCATCGCCGGAGGCGCACGAGCCAGTCGCCCGGAAGACTCACCCCCGCTATCGTCGCCGCCGCCGCCCTTGTCAAGACTGGCCGGCCGCACGGCGGCGGCGGCGGCCTCAGCGGCCTCCTCAACAAGCCTTCTTGCGGCACGCTCCCCGTTCTCCGCGATCTCCTTCAGCAGGAGCTCCACCGCTCTCCTCCCAACCCTATCGATGCCGCCGCCAACGCCACCGTCATCGTCTTCTGCCACCGCACCTCCGCCCTCCGCGGCACTAGCCGCCAGAGAACCACCACCGCCGCTGCCGCCGCTATTTCTGCTGTCTCGGCGCGAAGTAGCCAAGGCGGGCGGATTCTTCCCGCTAGGAGACAAGAAGTCACCGCCGCCGCCGCCGTCAGACGCGGGGGCTCCGTCTATCGCGGTTGCGGCAGTGGGAGCGGCGGCGGGCAGGCAAGACGCCCTGAGCTGGAACTCGAGGGCGTGCGCGAAGTAGACGTTCTCCGAGCACCGCGCGAGCAGCCATGCCTCCATCTGCCCGCTCATGTAGTACGAGCCCCACACCAGAAACGATGCAAGCTGTTTCGCCGTTTTTTTTCGTCGCCGGTTGTTAACCATGTAGCAGCACATTAATGAAGGCATGAACGTGGTCACGTGGGTCACGGCGGGGGAAGAGTTGCGACGGAGAGAGGGAGGAAGCAAAGAAGGCTGGAATGAAAAGCAAGCAGGCCTGCAACCGGAGTCTCTTCCACACAACCAACCTGTGACACAGAGGGCGAGTCCACGGGATGACAAAAAAGAGACTAAAACCACACACCCGTTCTCCTCACCCTATGCCGTTTGTTCCGTAACGGTAAACTAGATTTGCCAGCGAGACCTCCGCCACCTCGCGGCGACAGGCAAACAAACCCAGGTAATAATTATCCGGCTGAAAGCTGATACGGCAAGGCTAAATCTGGGCGAGTCAATCATACACAGAGGCGATCTTGTGACAAAATTAAGCACCAGCGGCAGCTGCTGCACGCCCTTCAGCAACCAAGCAAGAACAACAAACACGCCCTAACCACAAACAAAACAGCAGCCAACAACTCCTCCCCCTCCCACCTGCGGCGCGAACGCCTCCAGGCACATCGGGTCCTGCTCCGCCGCCAGCCTCAGGTCCTCCAGGGTGTCTTCGTAGGCGTACAGGCGGACGATCAGCCCGAACGTGAGCCGAAGCGCCGCGTCCCGGTCCGCCGCCGGGCTGCCGCCGCCGCGCACGCCCCAGCCGTCCCCGCTCAGGAACGACGCCTGCCACCTCTTCTGGAGCGCGCTCACTCTCGCCGACCAGGCGGCCCTCGCTTCCTGGGGGGCGCCGTACGTAGCGACGGCAGGTATGTACCAAGATAGGTGGGCAGTTTGTTGTACTTGGGCAGATGGTTGTATTCGAAAAAAAAAAGAAAAATGGGTGAGAATTTAGGGCGTGTGTGGTATAGCGAGGGCAGGGTACAAAGATAGGGGTGGGCAGATTGAAAAACGGGTGACGAGAGAAGGGTATGTTGGCCTGAGCAAGAGGAAGCGGGAGCATGCTACACGCCTTGTGAATACTTTCTGATCCGATCAAGCGCTGAGGGGAAGAAGATGGATACACCACCGTGTGCGCGACCGAAATGTGTCTGTCTACGAGAGGCTCACGATACCGGAAACACGATCTGAACCAGCAGCAGCAGCAGCAGCAGCAACAGCAGCAAGGGCCGCAAGGGCCGCAACAGAAGCAGACAGAAAACGGACCGCACGCCGAGGCTCCACCTGCATCCGGTCGGCGAAGTAGTCGACCAGCTCTCTCGTGGACTCCTGCCGATGCCGGAAAGACCCCGACCTATTTCTCCGCCTCCTCCTTCTCCTCCGAGCACTGGGATGAGCGGCGCGGGACTGGGTGCGCTGGCGCTCGGTCTTCTTCGTGGGCGGTTGTCGGCAAGCGCCCGTGACGCGTCCGAGGTACGCTTTGGTTTCTTCCGAACCGCCGCTGCCGCCACCGCCGCTGCCGCCCCCCCTTTCCCCAGCCTCCATGCTGCTATCTACACCGCCGGCGCCGCGACCCAGCTCTTCAGACGAGGAGTAGTCATCGTCGTCATCGTCGTAGTCGCTGTCCGTATCGTGATCATACTGCTCGTCGAGGAGACGTGCGTCGAGCCGGGAGCCCATGAAGATGGTCTTGTACCTGGGCGCAGGCGCGCGGCGTTTTGATGTTGCGGTGAGACACTCGAAGGAGTGAGGGTACATTCTAGCGCGACCTTCGGTGCAGCACCAGCAAGTGATAGATGGTTGTAGGAAGAGCGTGGCTGTGTACGGGTTGGAAACTGTGGCTGCTGCGAGCTGTAGCTGATGGAGTTGATTAGGCGCGGCTTACTTTACTCCTGCTGCTTACCCGTGATGGATGAAAAACGATGTGTCGCGTCGCACCTGTACCGCCACACAGGCCGCGTGTCACACGAAAGCCTTAAGGATGTTCCTTCCCCAAACATGCACCTCGTTCCACGAACTTGGTATACATGCGCGCCTACAGCAAACAGCACGAAATGCAGGCAATGCTGAGTCGCAAGCCCTACCCCCTCCTCACCAAGAATTTTTTTCTCTTTCACTACCGCTGTTTAAGGGTAGAATTATACACATGGACATTGCTCCTGCGGTTTGCTTGGGGCTTTTTTTTCGTGTACAACAACACCACAGACGACACACACGCACCTCGGGGTGGGCATGCTGCTCCGGAGGTGGTGCAGGCAGCCGCGCTGCGCGACGATTGACACGGCCGAGAGTACCAACAGCAGCCACCACAGAAGGGTGACCTTCGGGTCCGGGCCGCCGACGAGCATGGCGATGACCTTTGCCACCACGAAGAACATGTTCGCCACCACAAAGGTGTGGTGGAAGCCGGGGCAGCTGAGGCGCCGGCGCTTGAGAAAGCCTAGGACGTGCGGGAGCAAGAACGCGATTCGCAGCATCGCCAGCCATACCTTTGGAGCGGCGAGGGGGAGAAGAAACGCGTTCAGAGAGAGAAACTTGGGGCATCAGTGCCAACGAGCATTGAAGAACAGCAGCAGCAGCAGTATTGGCGGTAGTAGTGAAGCGCGGAACGGCCCTCTCAGGTACACGGTAGGATACTTCAGCGCAACCGGCAGCCCACATGGAACGGCAACATACCGCCGCCGTCAATCCGTGACAGGATCGCTCCGCAGCGTGGCAACCCAAAACCTTTGATGAGAAGCACACCAACAAGGGCCGAGGGCACGATGTTCGACTGAGTCGAAGCAGACTATACCGCTGGTTGGCAGATTTGGATGCGTGTATGGCCCGGGTTCGTCGAGAGACCGACGTCAGCGAACAGCCTGCTGTAACATGAAGAACGAGATTGCCTCTGTAGCTGCCGCAGCAGACAGGAGTGTCAGACCGAAAACTTGAAAACTTGGTGTCTAGCCATCAACACCTCGCAGAAACTGCAGTTGAGATATGCTGTACGCGGCACCTTTCTGGACAGACCTGTGCACAGCAAATCGAAAACTCTAGCCGATCGCACAAGGAGAGCGTTGTGCTGTTCTCCGGCCTGCCAAACGCAAGGATACAGAGGAGGGGGAGGCACTGCCGCTTTTCGTCTGCTGGACGTTGTCGGGGCATTCCGCCCGCTCCGGTCACTACAATTCATTGACACAGGCATTCAACACAGGCAGGATTGGTGCCTGGCCGAGGAAGAAGCGACAACGTAGACACTGCAGCAGCGCAACGACTCCAGGGTTACAAGCATAGTCGCGACGACACAGCCGCTAGAAGACGCTTACCACATCTACCGCCTCCGTCGCGAAGCCGTGTCCATCCTCAATGACGAACCAGGGCGTCCCTCCAAATTCCAGGGAGCGTTGGAGGTAGATCACGATGATCGCCGCGTCGCAAGAAATTGATACTGTGAACGGCGACACGAACATGACGCAATCAGTCTCGCTACGGTATTCGAACGCATGGGTTGCGCGCAACAGTATGGGTGCACTCCACCACCCTTTCACATCACATGCTGTCGGCGGCTTGCAACATGACGTGAGGGGGCCGCTGGATGTGTGTTGAAAATGGGGCGGGGGAAAACCACGGAGCACCCATTTTTTGGATCCGGACACACTCCTCCGCACTTCACAGTCCACTACCGGCTGTATCGGACGACGCCATTAGTAGGGGTGGATGGGCCCTGCCCTAGCGATCCCACGAATATACACTGCAATCGCGGAGCGGTGGGTGGATTTTTCCTCCTGCGACACGTAAGCAAGAGCTGCATGCAGCAGGAAAGTAGAAGTGGGGCCGGACCACACCCCGATCGGGAGCAGCAGCACTACTAAATGAATTATTCATTTTGCGTGAGGTTCGTTCCAGCCGGGTTAGGCCAGGGCGTACTGCTGCAGGACTGGGCCATGGGAAGCGAGGGGGTATGTATAACCGCAAGGAAGGTGAGATACCCGCAATCAGCTGAAACGCGGGTCTACCTCGACGGCTATTCGCAGCAGAAGCGAGTCACGTAAATGCCCTGCGCCTACTATATATAGTCTACGTACATAGATAGATAGAAGAAGGAGAGTCGTAGATAGAGTGCGATCCTATCTATCTACTGCTGCTGCTGCTGTTGTTGTAGACTATATACAATATATGGTTGGTTTTTCGAAGAATTAACTCTTCCAAGCCGTGAAAGACCTTGGCTTGGGCCGACAGAGACGCAGATAAATAGGAATGCGCCCGTGGGCGACCCGTATCGACCTACGGACGCAATCCTATCTGCGCCTCCTATGAACTATCCGTCCAAGTCTACGGTTTTTGTGGTTGTGGTTTGGATATATATGGCCGATGGATGGATGCTTTGTTGCAAGAATCATGGCCGCGACTTCGTCTCTCCTTCTAGGCGTGGGGCATTTACGGTCTCTCACTCGCTTCTGCGGCGAATAATAGCCGTGGGGGTACATCAATAGGCCCCCGTTTCTACTGATTACGGGTATCTCACCTTGGAGGCATAGTCTGAGACTACCTCCCTCGCGATGCATTCCTTCGCTTCCCCGTAATAATAAGTAGAAACAGGGGACACGGCTATTCGCAGCAGGAACTAAGCGAGATGACGAGATTGGAGTGGGGTGGCCGGTGAGGGAGGGTATCGGCAGCACGATATGGGTGTCGACGTTCTACTCTTAGCCGGACATCTCGTTCGTCGTTCGTGGGGTAGCGCGCCACGCCCACGCTCCGACCCAGAGGCATTGGAAGGCGATCATTCAGATCCTCGCCCACCTGAAGGGACGAGGGACCTCGGCATGACGGGGGTCGGGGGTAGAGCTGGCTGTATGCGGAAACGCCAGCTACGATGACACCACAGCTACGTACCTCTAACCGTTGTTGCCAACCCCGCTGAAACTTCGATCGTAACCGCGCGTGTTTGCCTGTGGTAGGTTGGACATAAACCACGGAAGAGCTTCACAACAACAAACTGCGGTGCTACCACACCACCACAGAATAATTGGACTCGTAGTGTTGCACGTTAGAACGCCGGAACCAGTTCACGTGCTGGGAGTACACGGGGCATGGGGCGAAGGATTTTGAGCAGCTGCCGTGCCTGCCCGCATCTCTGCGAAGTTGCGGAAGCAACGAAGGTGGAAGAGCGGCATGTACCTACCGTGGCAAACAGGGGCACGGCCGGGAGCTAAGAGGTTCATGAACTCCGCACGAGGATGAAGAGGAGGCTAGCCGACAACTAGCGTTCAACGAAACGACAAGCCCAGCAACAGCACGGGCATGACAACAACCAATGGGGCGGGAGGAGGGCAGCAGACGGACGAGACGGCGAAGGAAGAAAGCAAACGAGGGAAAGCGGACCGAAGATTCGCGATATGTGCCGGAGTGCCCCTGATTGAGTAGCCCCCCTGCCCATCACTGCACCATTGCACCCTCCACGGGTGATGACGTGCCTGTGCTGTCTCTGATGGCCCTTTTTGTTGGTTGTTTGTTCCTTTCAGTGGTGGTTCTGGCGATTTTCTTCGTGTTCATTCTCATTTCTGTTCCAATCCAGATGGCCTTCTCTCTTTTTCTGTAAATTACCAATATTGAACCAGGGAATATATATGCGTATTACCCATCTGGCCCATGATGTTGACTTCCAGTCTCTGTTTACCTCGCATAGCCTGTGAAGGCGAGCGGAGAGTCTTAGACTCTGTCGTTGACTTCTATTGAACTTGCGGAACCTTCGGATCCATTTTATTGTTGAACACTTGTGGGAGAATCGACCGCGTCAAGTGTTAGACTATACGGACAGATGAAGGCACTGGATAGAGACATCGGAACGGTTTTCAATGTGAACACAACAACTTATTCAGGTGCAGGTCTGACACGGTTGATCGTGTTGTCGGCGTGACCATCGCGAGGATTATCGGGAATTCTCGTCCAGCAATTAAGTGCAGAGGTGGTTGCGGCAAGACCGCCCCAGCGCGCAGTGTGTTTGGTTGCAAGCAACCGGTCGGAGGGTCAGAGGCCTCCTATAAATGGAGCGCGTGTTCTATGTATGCATGCATACGTTGAAGCACGCCAATAAATTAAGGGGCAAGCAATAAACGGTATTAAAAACCCCCCAGCAGAGTTGAAGGTAACGCATGGAAAAGGTCGCCAATGGAGTCACGGGTTGCAACTTTCCGACGAGAGGAAATGGGGTTGCCATCAACGCGAGAATATTAATATTCCCTGAGGAATCTGAATCTGGGCCTAGAATTGACTTAAAACCACAAGGGCTGCCACCGCTGAATACAATGCCGATCGCAGACTCAATGAGAAGCACACGAAATGTGTCACACGCGCCTACCCACTGAGTGACGCTGGCGCACGAGATCTTCGAACACTGCGGTGCTGTCGCTGGCTGATGGCATGATGACTCTCAGTACGCTAGATACTTGAATGTACGAAGCCGCCGCGTCCGCTTCAATGGGGATGCACACCCAGGACACACCGCTGTACGTCAGGTTACAAAAGCCACTCCAAGACTGTGCGCGAAGTATATGTACCAGCCAGTTATGTCACACCTCATATACTTACACTATTATAGCACACCTCTCACATCCTGTGCAGCCATGAATCGACCAAATCACGCCCAACGCCAACACCATACGGTCACGGAAACCCGGGTTTTTCACGCATGCTGCACCAGCTTCCAAGGTAACTATAATACCAGACACAACGGTATGCTGCTTACGGGCACGTTCGCCAGACTCTAAAGCACTAGTGATGCGCCGAACGGAAATATCCGGATTGAGACTATTGTATGTCGTCACCTGCTTCACACAAATTTCGACTATGGGCAGGTGCAGTTTCTTGATGAAACCCCGAAAAATGCTGAGGAATTGAATCAATCGTGTAAATCACCGCCCGTACTGCTGTCTGGCAGTGATGGCTTGTGCACAGAGTCCAAAAGTCAAAAAGGCGAGCGGCCCTCAAAAAAGCATCCATCATCACGAACACACAGCAGCTCACCCAACGGTACCGACAGCGCGTCCAAGGGCGTATGTCCTGGCCGACGCCCCAACATGCTTCGTCTGGAGCTCCCGTTCACAAGAAGCCTACGACCGTGCGGAATACGTCCTTCACCTCAAGATCCACCAGAAACGTTACGACACCGCTCAGCCCCGCACCTTTGGCTCCAGCTTCAGTTCCAACTTTACCCCCGTCGTTGCAAGGTTGCCCATTGATGTCATGATGGTGCCCAAGAGTTACTGTACCCTCGGTTTCGTCATTTTTCAAGCTCTTTCCTGGTCGGCAACCCGCTTGGTTTGAAAAACAGCGGGTCTCGCCATTCAATCTCATAGCCGTTTGCTCCTGCCTTCGAAGAGCGGGAACGAAGCATGACCAGCCAACCCCGTCGACGCCAAGCTCTGTCTGCCGGGGCGCGGGTAAGCAAAAGTCGTACGCGCTTGACCTCAGCTAGGGGGCAGTCACCGCAAGAAGATGGAAGTTCATGGAGCTTCGTCGCCGGTGTCTCGTCGGCGTCGTCCAAGTCTGTTTCGTCCGCCCCCCATCGCAACAGCAGATCCACGCCCCACTCTAGGCCGGGGTACTTGAGAAAGCAAACCTGTTGCAATGGCGTTGTCCAACATCATCACAGGTGCTAGCGATAGCTCCATGCCGGAAAAGGGCTAGCATTGCTTCGCGTTTGTTGAATATTGTGGCACGGAGCAGCGGTGTCCACCCTTCGGTCGATTTGAGCTTGATGTTCGCCCCGGCCTCGATGAGTGCATCTGTAGCTCCCACCTGGTCCGATGCAGCTGCATGATAGAGGGCGGTACGCCCGTCGCCATTGCAAGAATCCACGTTTGCCCCGTGTTCAAGGATCACTTTGAGGATAGACACATGCCCCGATGCAGCTGCATGATGGAGGGCGGTACGCCCGTCACCATCGCAAGAATCCACGTTTGCCCCGTATTCAAGGATCACTTTGAGGATAGACACATGCCCAGCCATAGCAGCGTTGTCGAGCGCAGAGATGCCGTTTGGACGCCTCCGAACGTTGACATTGGCACCATTTGTTAGAAGAGTCTCAACTACGGCCAAACGACCATTCCACGCCGCCCACATCAGCGCCGAATCACCGTCGCAATCAAGAGCATTCTTGTCAGCCCCGCGAGCAATAACAAATCGGACACGATCTCCACCTGCCCTTCTCCGGCAGATTCATGCAGAGCAGTTCCACCGTAACATCCTCCACGTAGTTGTGGATCTGCACCACCTATCAACAAGTCGTTCACCAGTTGTTCGTGCCCTCCGACCGCGGCCTCGTGCAGGACGCCATACTGGCGCACGGGGTCCTTATGGTCCACATCCGCCCCAGCGAGAATCAAACTTCTCGCCGCCTCTCCGTGGCCGCTCATTGTTGCCACGTACAGAGCCGGTCTTTTCGGGGACATGGACACAACTTCATGTCCAGCCGAGCTCCTGCGCGAAGCAGGTCAGTGATCACGCCCGCGCTTCCTCCGAGAGCAGCCGCGTCGAGCAGAGTGCGACCTCGACACCCCTCCATCCCGCGCTCCCGTCCGCCCCAGCCTCGATCAGCATGTTCACCAGATCCAGGCTGCCGCGTCCGGCGGCGTGCTCGAGAGGTACCCGAAGCCACTCCGCCCACTGCTCCGGAGTTGCACCGTATGAAACAAGCTTGAAGATCTCGCTCTCGAATCCTCGAAGGGACGCGCGCTTGGGAAAGAGATGCGTCTGTAGTGCCGCGTGTGTGCTTGTGTGTGTGAGCAGCAATGACCACCAGCAGCGCCGCAAGCAGCAGGTGTGTGTCTTTATTATTAGCATCGACCGCGCTAACCGGCTGACCGTGAGAGGATTCGTAGGAGAACTGTTCAATGAAAAGACGTCAGTGTCAGCGGGTAAAAATCAAGGTCCCTGGAAGGGGATCAAAATCCGAAATGTGCGCAATGCGCTGAATGCGAATGTCAGTCTGACTCTCTCTGCAAATTCAATCACATACACACCCATAATCATCATAGCCCCACACATACCCTCGCCCGAACCTAGGAAGCCACTGATGCATAGAGCGGAGGACAGCAAAAGGGTTAGTTCAAGCCCAGCCAAAGCCAGGATATCGTGGTATGCTGCATCTTCTCCCAATTTGAAAATCGTACACTCCCAAGATCCAACAGTCATCGTGTCAGCAGCTAGTCTAGATGACCCAAACAAAACAGCAACACCTTCATCATCATATCTCCACACATGCCCTTGCCCGAACCTAGGAAGCCACTGATGCATAGAGCGGAGGGCAGTAAAAGGGTTAATTCAAGCCCAGCCGAAGCCAGGATATCGTGGTATGCTGCATCTTCTCCCAATTTGAAAATCGTACACTCCCAAGATCCAACAGTCTTCGTGTCAGCTCAGCTATTAGATGACCCAAACAAAACAGCAACACATACATCGTCATAGCTCCACACATGCCCTCACCCGAACCTTGTGGGAAGCCACTGATGCATAGAGCGGAGGGCAGCAAAAGCCCAGCCGAAGCCAGGATATTATCGTGGTATGCTGCATCTTCTCCCAATTTGAAAATCGTACACTCCAGATCCAACAGTCATCGTGTCAGCAGCTATTATAGATAGATGACCCAAACAGAACAGCAACACATACGTCATCATACGTACGCCCTTGGTTGGATTGGTGAAAGTGGATAGCCCTCTCGCGAGACGCAGAGTGCTTTGCTCAAGGTCCCAGTTTGCCGACTCTCGTGGTATTATTTTTTTTTATTTTTCTTAATATGACACCACGAAACCATCTCCATCATAGAAAAAAGTCTGAGACAGATTAGCAATGGATTCATAGCGTCAGAAAAGTACCTGTATGTCTACGATTTCCCAGACAGCATTATTCTTTTTTGTGAACGTGTCCAGCAGGAATCCAGTATCCGCAGCAGCAGTCAAGTCGTAGTGTTGTAGCAAAATCCAGGTTGTAGTCTACCCGTTCGTTGTCCACACAAAGATTTGTGATTCCGTGATCGAAAGAGATACCACCGCTGTCGCAGGGTTCAAGGCACAGTCCGCCAATGAAGGCTGTGTGGTAGGTGTTGCCATGTGCTCTTGGCCTGCCCGCCCGTGAGGGTCGTGACGAGGCCTAAGGCTAAAAGCTGTGTGTGTGGTGGCTGAGAGGCGGGCTAACTTGCACTGAATGCGGCCCCGTGGATGTTGGGGGGGATATTGTTGTGCTTCTTTCGCGTATCCCCCATCGGTTGCTGGCCTTGGAATCCCTGTGGGCGTGGCTGCTTTGCTTGCCAACTCTACCGCCGCATCAGTCTGCACCCACGCTCAGGCAAAAAATCCGCCAGAGGCAATAACATGGCCGCTCCGACACGATTCGTGAATCCCAATGCGGAGGTGGTGTCCAAGACGCAGGCGCTGATGGTCAATGTGGCCGCCGCGCGAGGTTTGCAGAACGTTTTGAAGACAAACCTGGGTGAGTCGGTTGCCGTGTTCGGCAGAGTTAGCGCGCGCTAGGTTGGTAGCACACACAAGCCCCCACGCAAAACTTGTGATAGGGTCTTTGTGCGATAGTGATGGGGTGCCCAATAAGCCATCTTGTGTGGCATCTCCAAACTACGATAACGGCACACAGCCCTTCCGCTAAACACAGGTGGAATATAGGATCTGGCTTTGAAGGTTTGAACGGATACGATCGACCAAACCAACACGACCTCTCGCCATCTGCGGCGGGTGGTCGCCAACAGCCTTCGCCGAGCCTTGTGTAGAGCTACTGTAGATACCCTGGGTTGCACCGGTTGGTAGTTTTTTGTTGAAAGCAGATATTATGTATATCCCGCCCCCGCGCCGACCAAATTATGTTGATGTTTTGATTTGAAAACCCGGTGGGAAAAGGCAAAGAAGGAGACGGGAGAGGGGGATACTGGTACAATACGTCCACTGCTGACTCGCCCTGTATCTTTCAGCAAGGGACATGCGACGATGTCTCGCTTCCAGTTCTTACCATCAAACAGTCAACTCTCTATTGATCGAGGCACGTTGTGGAGTACATGGCCTCTTTACCCATGCATGAGCTCTGAGCGCAGCGTGTGGGTCAATCCCGCCACTTGAGCTTGTTGTGTGGCGAATCACACCCGCTCGCCGCTATACTGCTGCCCCCGGTATCAGGTGGCACACACGGCAATGACTCCAATACAACCAATACAGCAGTAGTTCCCCTCGCGTGCTCGCAGAGACGCCGGCATTGCTATTCTCTGCTCTCGAGGCACAAACGAGCGACGTGCCCCGCCGATATTCATCCTTTCGCACATTCTCGTGTAGCAACAGCAGTAGCTCGTGGAGGGGCTACAACGCTAAAATGAACCAGAGTACCAGACCGGAAAGAGGCGAGGAGATGGCACCCCCCGTACATGTAGACTGATATTCAATGCTCGATGGTCCCACAACCAAAAGCTTGTGCCAGCACCAAAAATGTTGGTTTTGGAAACATGTCGTCGAGGCTTTCCGTTGACGTATCGGGCTCCTCAGTAGTCACTTTTTTGTGGAGCAATCGAGCTTTGAAAGCAGGTCTGGGGGGGTTGCCTTCTCTCCACCGCTTTCGGCAGTCAGCGCTGACTACTCTGTTGGTCTAGGGGATAGTTTGGGCTATAATAGAGGGGGGCTCACCGTCGGTAGTTGCATGTGTGTGTAGTAACATGGCGATGGGATGCGGCTCTTTCGGACCGTAGTTTTGTGTTGGGAATTGCTGCGTTGAGCTGGTCAGACCGTCCATGCGAATGGTCTCTAGGCACTGGAAGGAGAACGCAGTCTCTTTTTTTTCAGACCGTACTGCTGTTTCACAATAGCCAAGACGCGCGCGTGCGCGGAACCATCTGTCAGATGTTAGTGTTCACCAGGCAGATTGTCTCTGAAACAGTACTTGTACATACAACTCACCTCTGCACCATTGATCCATGTCCCACAGCATCACTTGCTGTCCCCCGCCCCGCTCCTATCTATCTTTTTCAACGCCGAAGCGATCGCAGCAGATGTTGATAGCAAAGCAGCGTAGCAGATGAGCCCCCCCCCCCTCCCGCCCCCACCATCTCTCTCTGAATATGTTTTTCGTTAATCGGCTCTCCCTCCCACCGTTTTTCCCCTCCAACGTTTATTTTTTTTATGTTCTCGATCCTTGATGTTTTCTTTGTCGCTTCAGGACCTCGCGGCACCCTGAAGATGCTCGTGGGCGGGGCGGGGCAGATCAAGCTCACCAAGGACGGGCGAGTGCTGCTGCACGAGATGCAGATCCAGCACCCCACCGCGATGATGATCGCGCGGAGCGCCACCGCTCAGGTAACGAACTCTCGTCTGCGGGTGGCAACTAGCCTAGGGAGTCCGTCTCGTGAGCTTGTTCAAGGCCAACCCCTTCTCCCGGCCTTCGTGAACAGAGTCAGGGTTTTTGGGCTGATCTGTCAAAATGTTTACTGGAAGGTGTAGAGACTTGCTGGCGCCAGAGACGGGACGAAAACAACACCATACGCACAGCAACTGTGACGCGAGTACATGGCACGATAACCTCGGTGATGCCCCCCCGCCCCCGTGCTCCGTCTCGAAAGGGACGCGTGGTCAATGGTCAAGTGACTAAGGCAAGCAACAAATGAGTACGCCCCCCCCGTGATGTGCTAGACTGGTCCGGTGAAGACACGGCGTGCTCCGTCCCGACTTTTGTGGGGATGCGAGGTCAATGGTCCAACGGCTACGGCATGCACGGCTAATTTTTTTTTTTTTTGCCCGCGCGACCAGGACGACGTCACGGGAGACGGCACGACGACGTCGGTGCTCTTCACCGGAGAGCTGCTGCGGCAGGCGGAGCGATACCTGACAGAGGGGCTGCACCCCAGGGTGCTCACGGAGGGCTTCGAGCTAGCCAAGGAGCACGCTCTCGAGCTGCTGGACACCTTCCGAAGCACCAGGCAAGAGGATTGTTATTTGTTTTTCTCGGATAAAAGCAAGAAGCCGTTGGTGTCGGTTGCGCCAACGGCTGGTGAGAGTTGGGTTTTCGTGGTTAGATTACTGTGTGTGCGTGGATGGGGCACTGGGGTGGCGTTTTTTTTAGGAAGTGTACGGCGTTTTTTGTTTTCTGTCTTTCACTAACACTAATAACAGCGATTGTCGGTGTTACGCCAGGCCCCCAATTGTTGTTTTCGTGCGGAATGTGTTCGTTCGCTAGACCAAATACAATACAATATGTCGCGTTGATTGAAGAGGACGGCAAAGAGGGAGAACGAGTGGCTGCCCCCAAATGTGGCTGCAAATAATTTGCTGCAGGGTATCGTGAATACTGCTCGAAGTCTTGGTGTGTGCGCCCTTCGCACGTGTGTGATGCCCCCTTTTTTTTATGTATCCCTAACCGTTTTTTCCTCTCTTGCTTTTGATTGTTCTGGGGAATGTTTTTTCGTTTCAGATCAGCGGTGGAGGAAGACCGGGAGCTGTTGGAGTCCGTGGCACGGACGTCGCTGCGCACTAAGCTGCGGGAAGAGGTGGCGGACAACGTAAGTGGCATCCATCCTCTCGTGCAAGAATCTTCAGTGCTATGGACGTTTCGAGTTCCATCATGCCCCTCAAAGTAATGTCTATCTGGCAGCCTAGCAGTATAGCGGCAGCATGAGTGTACCGGTCCGCTCCACAGGTGGCGTATGCTTTCTAGGGAAAGACGACGGTAAATACACCTGTGGCGAACCACAAGCCGAAGACAACGAGTGAAGTGCATGGACGTGCACGTCATGGTTTGCCTAACTAGCACGGCAGCAGCGAAGACGAGTGGAGTGCCGTGTGTGGGGAGAACACTCCCCCGTTCGTTTTTGCGCCCAGTGATGGTAGCGAATTGTTTTGAAGACGGGCTCGGGGGATAAAGACAATCCGATTTCTTCGCGGTATATGTTGTTGTTGCTGCTGATGCCGCCGAGCGAAGGTCGCCGCCCTTTTCGTTCGCGGGGAAGATTTTTTCCCTAGAACTCTTGCCCTTTCTTCCTCCTGAAGCAAGCCGCAAAAATGAAAAGATCTCGTTTGTTTCTTTCAGTATGCATATATAAACACATTTTAACAGGACCAGAGAGAGAGAATGTTATATTTTGCTTTGGGATTATCTTTGGGAAATCCATTGTGAACGCTCGTGCCCTCGTTTTGACCGATGCGCAAACTGGCCAATTTTGGGACTGCGTGTCGTCGGTGGGTGGGGGTTTCAGATGACGGAGGCGGTGACGGGAGCGGTGCTGACCATCATGAAGTCCAGGGACGAGATCGACCTCCACATGGCGAGTACTGCTTTGGTGGTTATTGTCGCCGTTGTTGTTGCTGTTGTTGTTGTTGTTGTCATTATTGTATTTGTTGTTATGGTCGTCGACGCAATATTCAAGGGGCTTGTCACGTTCATTGCTGTTGTTTTTGTGGTTGCCGTCGTCGACGCAGTATAGGGTAGGGAGGCTTGCCTGTCGTTGTTGTTGTCGTTGTTGACGCAATATACAAGGGGCCTGTTGTTGTTGTTGTGTTCATTGCTATTGGTTTCGTGGTTGCCGTTGTCGACGCACACGAGGCGTGCCTGCCTGCCTCTTCTCGCCGCAGCACGAGTGCCACGCACATACTATTCAGACGCTGCAAGCCCAAAGCCATTGCAGTCCGCGGTTCAACCGAGCTCGCGGAGTTCTGACGGAGTATGTATCACATCCGTCTGCGACAACCGCTGGCCTCCTTCCCCCTGGCAGGCTACTAGGGTATTTTCGCCTGGCCCGGCGTTTTGTGCGCCTTTGTAATGTTGGCGCCTTCTTTGTTGCCGGCGGTTTCGGCCTTGGTTGCGCTTGCTCTTGATCAGGTGGAGATCATGCAAATGCGGCACAAGGCGGGCACGGACAGCGTGCTGATCAAGGGCCTGGTTATGGACCACGGCGCGAGGCACCCGGACATGCCCCGCAGCCTCAAGAAGTGAGCGCGGGGGGGGGGGGACATGCGTTTTTGCCTCTTGCTTTTCGGGTCGGGTCGCGTGAGGTAGAGTTTGTCCGACGTTATGAGCGTGGGGGTTCGGCAGGGCGCAACAGCAGCAGCTGCTGTTGTCATAATATCCACCTTCACGATAAAAACTTTCACGTAAAAACGATTTGGTTGGTTGGTGAAGCGGACATTTCCTGGCAGCATGTGCTGCTGCTGCTGCTGCTGCTGCTGCTGCTGCTGCTGCTGGTGTTGTTGTTATGTATCCAAGTCCACGATAAAATCGATTTGGTTGATTGATGGAGCTGGCATCTCCTGACGCGCTGCTTGTCCCGCCGTCCGCCCGCGTTCCTGTTGCCGGCTTCTTCGTGTTTGGGGGGGCGGTGTGTGTGTGTGTGTGTGTGCAGCTGCCACATCCTCACGTGCAACGTGTCTTTCGAGTACGAGAAGACGGAGGTGCAGTCGGGCTTCTTCTACTCCACGGCGCAGGAGAGGGAGAAGCTCGTGGAGAGCGAGCGCAAGTTCACCGACGAGAAGGTGCTTAATTTTTTTTTTGTGCCCTTTTTTTTGTTTTTCCTCGCTGGATGCAGATGCTGAGCTGTGCTGTGCTCGTACTCTGCTCCCGTTGCTTCGAAGAGAAACTTCCATTTTTTTCTAATTTGCCGGCGTTTTTTTGCTGTTGTTCTCGCTGGATGCAGATGCTGTTCTGATCTGTGCTGTGCCAGATAGTACTCCCTACGCTTGTGCTTCGAAGAGAAAATTCCGCGGCTGACGTTTCTGTACACAGGTTCGTTGTCTTGTCGTGCTTGCCCAACAGGAACGCTTTGCTTATCAGCGCTTTTCTTTTCTTTTTCTTTTGTCTGATGCATGTGATGTAGTAAATCGCCCTCAAAATGCGCGGCATCTGCTGCTGTTTTTTTTATGCCGCTACCGCTGCACTGTACCAACAGGTGATGCAGGTGATCGAGTTCAAGAGGAAGGTGTGTAAGGAGGGCGAGTCGTTCGTCATCATTAACCAGAAGGGCATCGACCCCCTGTCTCTCGACATGTTCGCCAAGGAAGGCATCTTCGCTCTCCGGAGGGCAAAGGTGCAGCTTTTATTGTTGTTTTTCACGCGGCAGTGATGATGGGTGGGTATTCTTGGTGGTGGTTGTCGGGTCGATGCCGATGATGGTGTTAGTTGGTTGGCTTGTTGGTGTGTCACCAACACATGTTTTTGGGTTTAGTTTTCTTTAAGAAACAGAACAAATAATATTTCAACTTTTTCACAGATAAATACGTAGTAAATAAGAGTCCGGGACAGACTAGCCGACAGATTTATTTTTTGCTCGGAAACTGAAGACGTCTGGTTCCACACGTCAGTGGGGTTCGACGCTGCTTGGGTGATTTGCACTTTGCGTCACCCCCCTTGACCCCGCCCCACTCCCTCGTTGTTTTGTCCCCGAAACGGCGGGGCACACCTGGTAACAGAGGCGTAACATGGAGCGGCTGACGCTGGCGTGCGGAGGCATGGCTGTAAATAGCACGGAAGACATCTCGGAGGAGATGCTGGGCTGGGCGGGACAGGTGAGACACGGCAAGCAAAAGCTCAAACACCACGGTTGCGTCATCTTGCCGTACTCGAACAAGTTTTGATTCGGTTGTACTTAAGTACTGGACATAATTTGTTTTTGACGCGTGGTTTTGAGTCTTGTTGATATCGTTTTGCTTCTGGCTGGCCGCCCGGTTACCGGCGGCGATGGTTTGTGGCCATGGAGTGGTCTTGAGACCACCTGTCTCTTCGAGGGTTGTATGTACGATGTACGATCGTTTATTCCGGCGTCGTTACGGAACGCCAGGTCCTTGAAACCCTGCGAGACAACGAGTTCAAACCTTCGCGGCTGAGCACATGGGATTTGTCAAGTGTTCGTATTTGGCTTTTGTTTTTTGCTGGGTGGTTGGGTGTTGGGGAAGTGCGCTGTAGCCGAGCACCAACACACGTTCCCGTACCCATGTCGTGGGTCGTCGGATATTGGAAGCGCGCTGTAGCCTCCTCACGCAAGCACTCGCGCGCACCCCATGGTTTGGGTGGTTGGATGTTGGAGAAGTGCGCTGCAGCCTCCTCGCGCAAACACCAACACACATTCGCGCGCACCCGTGTCTTGTGATTCCCTGGGTCGTCGGGTGTTGGGGGGAGTGCACCGTAGCCTCACGCAAACACTGACACAACACATACGCGCACCCATGTCTTGGGTCGTCAGATGTTGGAAGGGCGGTGAAGACTCCTCATGCAAGCACCAACACGCATATCTCTTCTGTTACCCCCCCCCCCCCCCCGA